AGTGGCCGGTTTTGGTGGTGGTTTAATCATCGATGATCCAGAATCTAAAAGACATAAGAAATTCTATTTGGTTTTAACTGCCGGTCAATCTGAAAGAACTATCAATTTGTCAGGAGCACAAATGGATGCTCCAGAAGTTAAAAAGAAGATGAATAAAAAATTAATGAGGAAGTTAGAGTCTAAGAAAGAGTTCATCAATAGAAAGAAGGATATTATGAGAAAAAGAGGTAGAACCGTTGCCCATGACTCCAAGTTCACTGCCAGAAAGAGACGTCCTCGTTTTTAGATACTCTTATCTTACTCTTATCTTGTCTATATGGGTTGTCTCTAATATCTGTTTATGGGAATTCATTGTACATTACTTTTTTGCATCTTAAAAGGACCTTCTCCTGAACTTGTTTTCGCTCAGACTTGGCCAGTTCAAATCTTGAAGAGTTCTTATCAACCTCTCTTGCTTATTAATCATTTATATTGTATACTAGAATATCGTTAATCAATAAATACCTTTATTAACAGTTAACTGTGGTCGTGCGCAAGTTATCAATGAATCAAAATTTTTTTTGGCACTGAAAAAAAAAAAAAAAGAGAACAGTGAAAATCTCTACTTCAACGAATATCAACTATTTCAACTTGGTTGCCAGGATGTTCAGTTTAATAAGTAGAAGAATAGCTTCTGTTCCACGCGTATCCTTTTCCAGGGCCTTCACCACGTTGAAAGGAGCAAAACCAACCGTTTATGAACCATTACCACCAAAAAGAAACGGAGAAAATGTCTTGACCTACTTACAAAAACAATTACTCGATAAATACGATCCTACTGGGAAAAGAAGAGCTTTAGTTGACTCTAAAAATGGACTTCGTTCCGGGGACATCATCAAGGTCACTTATATGGATAGAACCAGTACTGTTGGACGTATTTTGGCCATCAAAAGATCAGTAAATAACGTTGGTACCAATATATTAATCAGAAATAAATTTGGTAAATTAGGTTACGAAGTCAGAGTCCCATTATACAATCCAAACATTAGAAACATCGAAGTTCTCCATAAACCATCTAATTACCTTCCGAGAAACAAACAATACTATATTAGAAGAACCAAACATGATGTTGGAGATCTTGAATTTTTATTAAGAGAAAAGAATAAGGTAGCATCTCAACAGGCATAAATATTGTAATTTCCAATCTTGTATATATTATCTATCTACTTTTATATAAACATGTTCAATATATTATTGATTAAGCAAATCCATTAACTTTGAGTTTAACTCACTACCAAATTTTGATTGAAATGATGCAGATACATTCATCATCAAAGATTCAAACGTTTCGTAATGCTTCTCCTGAATATAACGTACCAACCAGCTAGATCGACCGAGACTTTGATTATATCGTTTTCGTTGGTCTTTATATGAATATGGTTAGTGTCTTTATGGATCAGCTTTCTTGAAAATGCTCTAGCATAATAGTCAGCAGACTCATTCACAATCCCACCAACTGGCCCACCACCCGTTAGCAAAGCCGGCATTCAGGAAAGAACGCTTTATACTCCTCAAAGATCTGAGTTAGCTCTCTTTGTTGCTGTTTCAAATCCATAATGATAAACAAGCACTGGTTGAAGTAAAAAAAAAAACAACTCCGTTCAGTTCAGTTCAGTTATTTCTACTCTAACTTCGAATAAACGCTTTACACTTTTACAGTTTCAAATAGATTTAGCCACAACTGATTCCCAATGTTCCATTGAGTATGTCAACACCGGGTGCCCAGTAACGTGCTTCAAATTAATGATTACTATACGCTTCTGACCACTTGTAAACCTTCATCAGCCTGAATACCGTAGAGAATCAAACTGACTTTTTATAAAGGGCGGACATGCGATTGATGTTAAGGAAAAAGAAGAAGAAGTTGAAAATTATCATTTTGCTGGTCAATTTATACTGAGAAGGAAAAAAATTTTTTGATTAATTTGACATCCGGGTAATTTTCCACGCTAAAAGAATGAATTTTTCACTTGAAAGGTCTAACAAGAAGGTATTAACAGGATAAATACACTGGCAAACGGAGCAAGATGCTGGATCTCAAACCGGAAAAGCTTATTGGGTGCTCGCTCAGGATAAACCTCAAAGACCAGAGACAATTGGATGGGGTTATGACGGTTATTGATCCATTTGGAAATATTCTATTATCGAATACTTGGGAAACGTCTGTTGACAAATTGAATGGAGTCGAGCAGCACAAGAGAGAATTGGGGTTGGTGAGTGTTCCACGAGAAAGTGTTTCGAATATCCTGGTAGACAAAAAGACCCACAAGGTTGTCTTTGGTAGTACAGAAAAATAGGTAACGGTGTTTATTGAATATACTTAATATTGGCTAATAACTTTTTTGGTGATTTTTTTAACGTTTTTGTTAGCAATTGGTCTTTTGATCACCACTTTTCTACGGACTGGGTTATCGTGTGGAGCCTTCCTGTGTTTGTTGGAGACGTTGTCTGGTTTTCTAATGGTGATGACATTCCCATCTGCATCAGTTGATTCTTCTTCTTCCCATTCGCAGTCCAGGTCGATTTCCTTATCTGACTCACAGTCTGTTTCTGGCTCATCAGTTGGCTCGTCACAATCAGTTGGTTCATCAGTTGGTTCATCAGTTGGTTCGTCAGTTGGTTTGTCACAATCAGTTGGTTCATCAGTTGGTTCATCACAATCAGTAGGTTCATCAGAGTCTTTGGGATCATCACCACAATCGGTGGGCTCACTTGGTCTAGGAGCTGGGGTGTAGGGATGAGGAATGGGCCCGGGCTGGTTATGCTCCAAGCAAGTTCCCCAAAAATGGTCTCTGGCACTTTCAAAAGTTCCGTAAGGACAAATATCCACCAAACAACCAACAAGCAGATCCTTTTTAGCACAGATGCAAGTCAAATCATGATGATTGTTGGCACAGGTTCGAGAAATCTCACTAACGCAACTTAAAAAACATGCTGGAGGAGTGGCAACAACCGTATTTGCTGATAAAACCACTGCCAAAGTGACCAAGAAGTTTCCTGCAAACATAGTATCGATCAAGTAAGTAGTCTAATGAATAGTATGCTCGATAATAGCCAGGTAGAGAAACCCAAATAGCTCTTTGTAGCCGAAGAATACTCCAATCACTGACTTAAATACTTTTGCTTTTTGCAATTTTGCAAACTAAAATTTTGTGGTTGCAACTTTCTGTGAAAAAATCTCAAAAGCTGCCAAATTTCAGTGGAAAGTCTGCAAAAAACCGCCAAAACGACAGCTTGAATCGTACCACTTAGGTGCAGCTGTAGTTCTCGATGAAGATTCATCTGGGAAGGTTCATCTGGGAAGATTGGCCAAGATTGGCCAGCACTTTGCCCTCTGTATTCTACGCATAGCTGAGCTTCAACGTGCTGATGATCGCCAACGTAACAAACACTTGACCAAGCCCTGGTTAGCGCTAGGTCAGCCTTGTCTCAATACAAAAGACTTAGTTCACATGAATAGCATCGTTTGCTCCTTCGCTTTGATGTAAAAACCATTCAAATGTGCCATTTGCGCATGGAGAAAACAAAGACCACCTACAAACACCTGTGCCAGCAACACCGTGAACTGAGACTTGCTAATACATACATGTACACCAAATCTACAGAAGCGACTCGGTTATCTTAACAAAAGGTGAAACTGTTGAAAAATTGAAAATTCAAACCGGAAAAAGGAAGAAAGGGAAAAAAAAAACAGAGGCAGGTGAGAAAAGCGAAAAAAATCAACGTAGAAAAAAACAACCAATTTCCGACAACAATCGACTTTAGACAATAACTAGTTATACTAACAACAGCTTATTAAAGAGTTGGACGAGTGTGGTAGTTGTGCTATTCAACTGAGTGTATTGGTCAAAGAAGCTTGGGATAAGTACTTTTTAAGTTTTTTTATTTGTTTTGCTGAATTTATAATCCTTTATCTCCATCAAATATTCATAAGCATGCAAGGAAGTTATAATAACAATGGTCTTCCAAGGCCTTATTATATGAAGCCGGTTATGTCAAAGAAACACTCGCCTTATGATAAAATGCCCAATACTTTTTTCACTACTAATAAGAGGAAATTACTTGGGTATATGATGATATTGTTTCTCTTTGGGTCTTGTATGTATTTAGTGTCACAAGAATTAAAACCAGGACCCGATCCGGTTTACGAGCTTGTTCATTCAAATAGCCAGCAAGCAGCAAAAGTACCAAATGATAATACTAATATTGACCATATGGTTGATTCAATCAAAAATGCTGATAGAGAAACTGAAAAAGCTGGGTTGGCAGGTAATTTGGCTCAGGGTTCCAAAGGAGACATTGGACACGGAGTTGTTGAGGCACCTAAGGGAGGTATTGCCAATGAAGCCCCTGTGGTTGGTAACGATGCTGATTCTGTTGTTGGTAATGGTAAGGGTCAAGTGGATGCTAACGGTAAGGCCAAACCAAAGTCTTATAGGGCAAACAAAGGTGATGAACCAGAGGTGAAAGAGCCGATTGAAAATCAAGCCCCTTACAAGAAAGATTCCCCTTCTAATAGAATAAATGAACAGCCAGTTAAAGATGCTTCGTTCAAGTCATCTAATGATAAATCAGTTCAGCAGATTATGGATGAAACGGAAGCCGATGCCGATGACTTTAAAGTAAAGGCTAATAGTTAAGCCATCCATAACCGCCCTCTTCTCTTTTTTAACGCAAATACGATGACATGAATATATAAAGCATTTAATGACTTATGAAAGTCACACGTCTTTATGAACACGAATGAAAAATGATTAGAATAATCAAAACATTGAAAATTGAAATGGGATATGATTACACCCAGTGTACCATTACAAATTATGAAAGCATTAATCCACGTGCATTGAATAATTTATTTATATACAAATACATTTGTTAATACAGTATCGTTGTAGAAGCCATGTATGTCTATGGACCGGTGTATATCCTGGATGTGATAAAGACGATAAGAAAAAAAAATAAGGTCTTACTGGGGATCGAACCCAGGTTGTCAGAATCAGAATCTGATGTGATACCACTACACCATAAGACCGTTCGACTAGGCCATAAAACCAATATTCCGCTTCGTTAACAAGAAATAGTTGCCTATCAAAGATTGTGTTTCAAGGGAAAGATGTACGTGAAAAAAAAGGCAAAATCAAATTGCAAGAAAAACTCAGGAAAACCCTTTGAAATGTCATGGTTAAGAGTGAGAAGAGTATGAAAACTGAAAACGGGTCTTGGATTATCTTTATGCAGAAAAAAATTCGAGTATCACACAATTAAAAGAACATTTTTCTTTTTGTTATTTTTATGTATATCCAGCTGTATGGAATCGAGCAGTATGTATACGGTGGAAGAGCCTATAGACCGTAGGACAGAAATCCATTAGCATATTTGGGAGTGATTGAATACAAACAGATAATAACTAAGGGGAGTACTTTAGATCTGCGAAGTTAGTTAACAAAACCAAACATTTTACAAAGCTTGAAATAGCATGACAAATGAAATACTATGTTTGCAAATGTAATTCATGAAAACAGAGTTATTCTACGTATGTTTCTTTTCGAATCCTGTTTGGAATCTCGCTTTTTGCAGCAAAAAATTCTACGGTGTTAGCTTGTAAGTAAACTTTGTAGATTGGGGAAGGTAATGTAAAATCAACACAACTAATTATTTTTCGAAAGATCGAAGTTAATAAATTACTTCTCAATTCAGCCAGCTCCTCTCGATCAACAGTCCTCTACTCAGGAATCAGAATGACTATAAATCAAACTTAGAGGAGAATACGTTTGTTAGCCATATTTTTTTATTCTTTCTAGTTTAACTACTCTAGAGGGTATATACTTTGTCAAAGTACCTGCTTGACTATATGGAACTGGAAAAGTAAACCGTACTTTTGATCATTACGTCCTGAACAGACAGTGGTTTTGTTTATAACTCTCTGAAAGGACAGTGGTTTCTGAACCATAGGCTGCCAAAAGAGAAAAAGCGACTGAAGTGAAAAAAAAAAAAAATCAAAAAAAAAAAAAAAAAGCGAAGCTCATCTCAATCTGCAACCATTAAAACATACCGTTTCTTCTATTAATCATTATTTACTCAACCGAACCTCATGGGAAAGAAAAAGTCAAAGTCCAAGAGCAATAGCTCTTCAGAGTTAGAGTCTGCCATTTCACCAATCATTGAAATTAACTATCAGGACCCATTATTTTCTCTTGCTGCTCATCCCACTAAACCTATATTCTTATCTGGTTTAGCCACTGGTCATCTTTATTGTAATACATACGATGCTGATAAATTGGAAGAGACTCAAACCGCAAAGAGAGAAGAGTTTGAACTTCTTGAAAAAGAAGCATTTCAAAAAGGTAAAGTGAGTAGTATCAATAGATCAGTGTCTCAACTGAAGAAGAAATGGTGGGAGATTATTCAGAATAATACTGAAATTCCACAAGGTTCGAATTTATCTACCAATTGGAAAACCAAAAGACATAAAGGATCATGTCGTTCTGTCATATTTGACTGCTTGGAAGGATCTGTTGGGGAAAATTTATATTCGGTAGGAACAGATCATATAATCAAAAAGGCCAACACTGAGACCGGGAAGGTTATATCCAAAATTAGCACTTCTGATCATTACCCAAACCCAAAAGATGCTACGACTAAGTTATCCCACTCAGCAACTCATCCATTTTTATTGACTGGTACTGAAAATGGCCATGTCTTGGTCTATGATAGTAAAAATCTCTCTTCAAACCAGCTCAAGTTTAAAGTTCTGAGCGCTCATGAAGATTCCATTAATGATATATTACCAATGCCTGCTGTTTCTGCTTACCATTACTTGACCTTAGGCTCTACCACATTATCGCACTTGGATATTCGTAAAGGTATTATAACGCAATCCGATGATCAAGAAGACGAACTTCTTTCAATGTGTTATGCAACTGACCAAATCAATCAGAATCAAAATGATACTGTTTTGGTGTCACACGGGGAGGGTATAGTTACAATTTGGAAAAACTCCAAGAATAGTTTCAGAGATCAGTTGTCTCGTATTAAAGTCAACAAAAATGCATCCATTGATGCTATTATACCCACTATGAACTGTGACGATGGCGATATGATTGATTCTGTTTGGTGTGGAGATAGTGAAGGTTTATTACATAGAGTCAATTATAAAAGAGGTAAAGTTGTTGAAACAAGAGTTCATTCATCTACTTCTGGTAAGTATGGTGCTGTTGATGAAGTTGGTTTATTGGATATCGATTATGATTACAGATTGATCAGTGCAGGTATGGATGGATTGAAAATTTGGTCTGGCCAAGATTATGAGGATCTCAACGGCGATAGCGAAGAAGACAGTGATGAAGATAGTGACAACGACAGTGACAACGAGGTTATTGGATCTCAACAAGATGATTCCGATTCAAAAGACCAATGGGAAGATATAAGCTCCGATGAGGGTTCCAACAGTGGAAGTGAACCGGAATCCTTGGGTCCTTCTGATTTTTCCGACTCTGAAGACGATGCCGAAGAAGAGCAACAGGATGATACAAAGCACGAAGATCAAGATGACGATCAAGATGACGAACAAGATGAAGAAGAACAAGATGAAGAAGAACAAGATGAAGAAGAACAAGATGAAGAAGAACAAGATGAAGAAGAACAAGAACAAAAACCACTCGACATTGTCAGAAAGAAACGTTTCGATCCATTTAAATTAAACCCATCAAAGAAAAAGGTTATTGATATCAACAAATTGACAGCAGAGAGCCAACCAAAGGAAGAAGAATCGGCTGAACCAGAACCAAAAAAGAAGAAACAAAAAATCAAGCAGCTATCAGCCAAACAACTTAGAAATGCCCAACAACACGAACAAGGTATTCGTCGTTTCGAAGGTTTATAAATATATTTTGCAACAAATATAGAGTACAATTTTGCGGTAAATAAAAAGTGTGTAGAGAACAAAAGTCGCCAGACAAAAAAATGTAGTGAGTTGAGACTAAGTCAATTGAAGACATTTTGATAAGGAAACATATGCTATTAGGTTAAAAGCTACTTGATCGATTAAAGATTGTGTTTCATTGATCTTGCGTCAAGATGGATGTTCCAAACGTATCGACGGTGCATAATGTCACGTTATCTCGTCGGGGATATTGCATCACTGGGAGCTTAGTATTATCCCGTTATCATCTTGTTTTCAGTTTTAATCCGAATCCAAAAGATCAACAAGCTGCTTCGAGAGAAATATGGATATGTTATCCGATAATTGATAAGATGAAAAAGTCCAGAGGAAGCTCTTGGATTGAGAAGCATAGCTCGAATGGAGCTAATAGTAACCCAAATTTTAATGACATTGATCTCTCCACACCTCGATATCCTATTGATGACTACGATCATTATTCCTCGTCACATATAAAGCTTCAATGTAAAGACTTTACCTACTACTCATTTGATTTCATTAATGATATGATATGTACCGAGGTTTTCCGAAAATTGAGTTTGTTAATTACAGCAGCAAAATCGAAACATAGCATACGAGAGTTCTATGCTTTCGATTATAAACCAAATTTGATTGAGCAACAACTACCGGTGAAAGGTTGGGACTTATACGATCCACTAAGGGAATATGAGAGACAAGGGCTTATTGGAGATAAAGGGGAAGGTAACAGTTATTGGAGAGTTAGTGAGGTTAACAAAGAATATAAGTTTTGTCCATCTTATCCCAATACTTTGATTATTCCAGCGTCTATATCAGACAATGTGTTGAAGCATGCAAGCAAGTTCAGATCTAAACAGAGAATCCCTGCAATAGTATATAGACATAGATCAGGAACCAACGGCAACGTTATTGCTCGTTGTTCACAACCTCTAGTTGGATTGAATATCCAAAATCGGTCAATACAGGATGAAAGATTAATTGCTGAGATTTTTGAAAGTCAAAAGAGGGAAAGATCTGATAAGCTGAATTATGATAATGACCCATTAAAGAGTCAACCGCAGAAAAATTTAATTGTTGATTTAAGACCTATAACCAATGCCATGGCACAACACGCATTGGGAGCAGGTACAGAGAATATTGATAATTATAGAGGTAGAATGAAGAATGAAGATAAAAAGGTAGCCAATGGCTCCCCTAGTGATGACAATCCCAAATCAGATGACTCTGCAAATGATTCTAAAGGTTTGTATCATGTGGATAAAATTTTTTGTAATATTGATAACATTCATGTTATGAGAGACTCGTTAAATAAGCTTATCAGCATATTGAGTGAATTAGATAAGTATCCGGTATCGACTAATGCCAATAAAACACCTATCCCGTTACTTCAACAATCTTTGAATAAAACCCAATGGCTTCATCGTATATCTATAGTGCTCCAATCTGTTGATCGAATTACTAAGTCAGTGCACTTAAATAATACTAATGTTGTGATCCACTGTTCGGATGGTTGGGATAGAACATCTCAAGTATCTGCATTACTGCAACTATGCTTGGATCCTTACTATAGAACCATAGAAGGGTTTATGGTTTTAATTGAAAAAGAGTGGGTTAGCTTTGGGTTTAAATTTGCTACAAGAGGTGATCATGGCGGGTGTGTTGGGGCATTAGTTCCCAAACAGTCCATGAGCCAAAACCTGGGGGATTCGTATTCCAGTAAAATATCCCAGACAATTGAATCAGCGATCTCCGAAGACCCCCAAAAAATTAACGGAGGAGGGATGAGTCTGTTTTTACAAAAAGCAGCTAGGGCAGCCAATCACCTTAAAAATACTGCTCAAAATGCAGCAGCTTCGTCATCGTCATCAGCATCAACCAATGGCTCCGATGTTGATGGAGATGGTAAGTCATCGCCATTTTCAACTTCTTCTTATAGTGCCAGCAATGAAAAATCTCCAATATTTCATCAATTCTTGGATTGCGTTTACCAAATTTATCGTCAGCATTCTTGTGAGTTTGAGTTTAACAGTAGGTTTTTGAAAAGACTCTTCTACCATTATTATTCATGTCAATACGGAAGCTTTTTATGTGATTCAGAAAGAGAGTTAAAAGAA